GGCTTCCGAGGACCACTCTGCAGTTCAATCCACATGCCAATCCCTGCTGGATCGACGGCTGACGTGTAGAAAACTGGAAGACTGTGGGTGATTTAGCTTAATTAAAATTTGTAAGCAGGTGGTTATGATACATAACGACCCTTCTACTACCCCAGTAGTTCTCTTACCCAACTCATACAGATGACCATAATTCACCAACTGAATTCACAACTGCACTAAAACGTCACATAATATTCAAAATGCACAGATATAGTGCACCTAACTTAGGTTGTCAGGCATCTCGCTCGCTCCTCTCTTTCTTTGTCCCCTATGTCTGCAGTATTTGCACTACCGTGTTATATAGACGAAAAACAAAAAAACACATGCACCTTAACACCATGACAAAATACTTACTGAGACTGACACTTAGTTCATTCATGATTTATGCCTATGTACACAAGGTGAACAAACCATGTGCGATGCTATCACTCATTACACTTAAAAAAACAGTTCACTTTTTGTCAAACCTGTGACATTCATCATGTCAATATCATATTCGGATTCATTTCCTGTTAACTGCGTGTTATGACTTGACCCACTTGACCGAAGCATAGTCCTTAAGCCTGCCTTATAACCCACGGTTTTTCCATGTCCTGGTCGCATGTCCCGACCCCTTGACCTCGATGACTGCCCTCCCATTCGTTGACAGGTTGCAATCTATATTCTAGTGTCTTTATTCACCCGGCCCACGGTCACTGATCCCGGCACCGTGTCCTTATTCGCTCCCTCGTACTTTAATTTCTACTCCCTGTGTTTATGACCTTATAAACTGGCAGCAACGCGACTACAGGTCCAAGCACCTCGAATGTACTTCCACACTCCCTTTGTTTTCTACTTCGCATTTTTTCTACCTATCGTGCACTGTTAATCTTACTGTTTATTTCTGTAGAACCATCCCACATCCTGACTGTGGTATATTGACATATAAAGAATATCTGAGTTATCTGACTGTTCTTGACATAAGTTCTGACCCCGGGTGCGTCGATTCAGGTGACGAATTAAGAAGATAGTGTTGACATTTTTAAACACAAATTTAATTCTCATTTGCTGAGAAACTGTGACAGATAC